AATGACCTTAAAGCATTAGACTCTTGGTGTAACACATGGAAGCTTGACTTCTCTCCCGCAAAGTGCAGCGCCCTGTCCTATAGATGCACTGTACCGCCTAGTGCGCTAACCCAGAATTACGTTTCACTGGCCAACTGTCAAAACATAAGGGATCTCGGCGTACACTATTCAAGCTCTCTAAATTTCTCGGAACAAATTAGCTATAATGTAGCGAAAGCTAGATCCCACATTGGTCATTTCTGCAAGAGAATGCTCGTAAACGAATCCAGACCCGCTCTATACAAGGTACGTGCTAGAACTCTTTTAGAATACTGCTCAATAATATTTACCAACTCCAGAGTAACCGAATAGCAATTGAAAAAGTACAACGCACATTCACAAAGCGCATGCTTTGCCCCTCTACTCTCAACTACCGTGAGCGCTGTAAACTTCTTGGTCTTGAACCTCTATGGTTACGAAGAATGAGACCCAACCTCACCTTCTTATTCCAGACGATAAGCAACCCAAATACGGACCTTGCCGGACATATTGAACAACCCGGTGACTCTCGGTACCCACTCCGACATAGACCCTCAACCATTACCCTAACTACAGCCCGCACCAACGTGCGTAACATTTTCCTTCTTTACAGATACGCGCGCGACTGGAACAGGCCAGCATTACAAGTTAGGGCAACCGAGAGTACTGCACAGTTCCGATCATCCCTACATAGACACATTGCTACCCTGCTTATCTGCGAGCTCTTTAACACCAGTATACCGGAGGATGAACCTTCCCATTCCAGACGATAAGCAAACCAAATACGAACGTTGCTGGACTTATTCAACAAAACGGTGACTCTCGGTGCCCACCCCGACATAGACCCTTAACCATTACCCTATCCACATCCCGCACCAACGTGCGTAACAACTGCATTCTTTACAGCTTCGCTCCCGTCTGGAACAGGCTACCAGTACAAGTTAAAGCATCCCAGAATACTGCACAGTTCAGATCATACTTACGTAGACACCTTGCTACCCTGCCTATCTGCGAGCTCTTTGACACCAATATACCGGAGGATGAACTTTGGGAACATGGCATGGAGCACCTCTAAATCCAAAAACCCAACAGATCCGACACATGTCCCACCAACTAACCCTCCTTTACTCTCTGGGACTGTCAGCTTCCCATATATTTGCTGTTTGTTGACAGCAGGAGCCAATCTTCGTAGGCTCCAACCATCTCTGCGCATATCCGAAGCTTGCTAAGAGCCACTCTTTTATTTCTCTCTGGGACTGCGTGCGTCACATACAGCTGCCGCCTGTAGAGTTATTCTGGGACACTTTAGGCATCCACTAACAACTAGAAGGCTTCACCCCAATGCCAGTGCTAGCCGTCGATACGCTCTCTCCCTTGGTACCATTGTCAGTTCTTCGCATTAACTATGTCATCACTTTTAGCTTCAGCGTGTCATTGTAGGTAGCATACATCTTTGTGCTAGGAGCCACACATTATCTCTTCAACACTTATTTCCTTGAATTGTTTGCATCACATACCTTCACTGCTTTGTTGTCTCTTCTAACACTAGCTATCCACTAATAACTAGAAGACTTAATGCGAATTCTGTTGTCCACTGCTTCTCTCATTTAGCACCATTAGCCTTCCACCCTCTTATCTTCATCACGTTTTCCTCAGTGATTCGCTGTAGGCTACATACATCTTGCGCAAATCCGGACTTACCAGGAGAAATTCCTTGTTTTTCCTTTCCGTAATCTCTTAGGATGTCTGTATCACTTACCTTCGCTGGCTCGCTGATGTATTCTGTGACACCGTAGGAATCCGCTATTGACCAAACTACCTAATGCAGTGGCTCATCTATCCACCGAAAGTTTTTCATAGCGCCATTATCTGTCGATCCTCTTAACTTCAGCAACGCTCTTTCGTAGCAACTAGTTGTCGTAGGTTCCAAGCATCTCTGCAGATATCCAAAACTTGCCAAGAGCCACTCTCTTTTATCTCCAACCTTCATCCTTTGAGATGGCCCGCGTCACATATATTTGCTGTCTGTTGACTTATTCTAGGACACTATAGTCATCCCCTAGAGGGCTTCACCCCATTGTCATTGCTAGCCGCCGATACTCTCCCTTAGTACCATTATCAGTTCTTTGTATTGCCTATATCACCACTTTTCAGCTGCATCGAGTCATTTTAGGTAGCATATCTCTTTGCCCTAGGATCCATTCATTTTCTCTCCGACGCTTACTCTCTTAAACTGTTTGCATCGCATACCTTCGTGGGGTTGTCGACTTCTTCTCTCACTGTAAGCATCTACTAAAAATTAGAAGGCTTAATGGGAATTCTCTTCCTGTCCACTAGTTCTCTTTCTTAGCACCACTATCCTTCGTTTTTCTTATCTCCATCACTCTTTCTGCAGCAATTCGTTGTAGGCTCCATATATATTGCGTATATCCCTAGCCACTAGAAAACATTCCTTGTTTCTCCATTCTGTGATCTTATAGACTGTCTATATCACTTACCTTCGCTGGCTTGCCGATGTATTCTGTGACACTGTAGGTATCTACTAGTGACCAATCTGCTTAATGGGATGGTTATATCTGATCACTGAAAGTTTTTCATAGCGCGTTGATCTGTCGATCCTTCTAACCTCAGCATCTCTATTTAGTA